GAGCAAGCCGAGTTGACCAGACCGATGACGATGACATGAGTGTGATTAGTGAAGTCGATCCCGCACCGAAAAATGGTAGTATTGAGAGCGTCATGAGTTAGGTGGTTGTTGATCAATCGGAGACGTGCTCCGTAGCAGAAAGTGGCTCAATCGAAGACCCATCATTAGGAAGTGGGGCAAGTTGCGCTAAAACGGGATCTTGCAAAAGTATATGCAGTGACGTATGCTCAAGCGGAAAGACGGAGGTATCTTCCGTATCTGATGTAATTGAAGCTCTTGCGAACTTGCGAAGCCGTTTCAAGTGTGGTTTCATTTGCTGAGTGTCCGAATCGCGATGATGGTAGCGCGAGCAGCCTATCAGACACACGTTCCATGAATAGTGACTGCAGTCGCCTGAGATTGCATTATATACCTCAGGAATGCGCTCGTCGAACTAGCCACGCCAGAGATCTTGCGCGCGATAGCGCGCGCAAAAAAATATTAATTTCACATTTCGCGAAATTTCATGAAATTTCGTGAAATATTTCGACATGAAATTTCACGAGTCAGATTTCACTGAGATGCATAACCCTGCTTTGGAAGCCTCACGGATTGCCCATTATTCTTTTCGGTCAAACTTATTGATTCATATGACATCGGTATCAGATATTATCACCCTCATTTCCTAATGAATGACTCCGAACCCTCAAATGATCCTGAGTTGTCACTGGGAAGAACCATACTTGAGCCCCAAGACGCTACAGAGATTAGGAAATGGAGAACATCTCTTATTCTTGGTCCTGGTTTTAAATCATTCTCACTTGATTTCGACCCTAGCCTGATATCCTCGGCCCAGATGGATTATCTCCTGGCCAGGCTCTTGGAGCTCGAAGCCATACCCCTGAGAGGGGTTAGGGCATTCGTCTCTAACTGGGCCTCGGCCATGGTATCCAATGACGCGGGGGTTGAAGGCAGCGGGAGTCCAGCGGCTGCTCAGGCACCCTTGGACTTCGCAAGGGCGATCTTAAGCATGGTGCTTCATGCAGGGCTGGTACATGGGATGCCCAGTAGTCGCTGCTTTGGTTAGCGAGTGCTCTCGCGGTCATATCTACTAAGAGGAAGTACCGGTTGGTGCGTAGCATCGAGCTGGGCAACGATCGCGACTACTTCGACGCCCTATTCGAAGCCCTCATTGCTGACACTGCTATGGGGGGCGCAGGCTCGGCCACACATCGTTCACCTTCCATCGCAGGAGCAGTAAGTCCCACTGGCGATGGAGAACCATCGTCCACGGCTTCGCACTCCCGAAGGCAGGCTCCTCTGAACGTGTTCAAACTCCCACTTGAATATACAGAATTCGAAGGTCCGACGTCGGCCACACCCTACTCTGCCTTCAAGGGTGGTGTGCAGACGTCAATCAGGTTCTATGGTATCGATAACGAGCGAGACTGCATGCTCTTCCTCTTCCGGCACATCGGGAAGAGCTTGAGGTCCGAACTTATCACACATCTTGGGACAGCCCAACCGGCTCCGTCTGCTGTGTGGGGGTACCTCGACTCTCGGTTTCTCGAAACTGATACATCGGAGAAGGCCAGCGAACGCTGGGAGAGTCTCAAACAGAATACTGGCGAGAAGGTTGACGAATATTATGCCCGCATTAAGAGTGAATGGTTGCTCTTCTCTCGTGTGTCCGGCGTCACCTTACCCTTGCCATTTGTCTCTGCCAAGTTCGTTGGGGGACTGCTCCCTGAGATAAAGGCACCTCTAGAAACCAGCTGTGGACATCTGCTGTCTAAGCTGCCCTTAGAGAAGGCTCGGGACGCGGCCCTATATCATGAATCTAAACTCTCATCTAAATCGGATGGAAACGCCCGCAAGGCCCTCTCGAACAAGCGGATGCCTATGCCCCCCGGTCAGGCCCCCCAGTCGCATAATCCTGGAGCCAAGGAGGTCAAAGAACCCCTTGTGGGAAGGGACAACTCGGCTGGTGGAGGTAACTCGAAGGATGGCAAATCTGGATGCTCCTACTGTGCTACTCGAAGGTACAGAGGGGCGAATAAGCACGACGACGCGCGCTGCTGGAAGAACCCTGCGAACGCTCACTTGGTTCCGGACTGGTATCGTCAGCGCCAAGCTGAAGCTGCAGCAGCCAAGGCATCGAAAGGGCAAAGGGACCGGCAAGAGACCGTCCCAAAGGCCGTCCAATCGACGTTCATGGCACGCTCCGTTGACTCTGCTCATGAAGGCCTACGCGTCATCAAAGCTTCTGCTACCGGTTCATCCGGCCGAATTCTACCAGTAGAACTGCTGGTCGACTCTGGTTCGGATCTGACATTAATATCATCCTCGTCGGCGAGCATTATGGGCTTCAAAGTGACACCAGCTAGGGGGCTCAAGAAGCTCGAATCGGCTGGGTCGCTAGGCTCCATCTGCGTGATAGGACAGGCTCGGGTTCCGATAGTTGTCAAGGATAAGGCAGGCCATGACCTCTCCTTTAACTTGGAGGCCACCTTGCATACTACGGATGATACACTCTATTGCGGAGCACTGGGTTCAACTTGGTCCTTGTCACCTTATAGCGGCGGGAGCATCTCCAGCGTTCTCACCGATACACGGCTCAAGTTGCCCACTAGGAGTAAGGTGGACGAACGCCTTAAGGGATGGTCGTTCCCCAAGGTCACTGTCCAGCTAAAACCTGGTGCTGTGCGACCCTGTCCCAAGCGGCCATATGTGTGTCGTAAGCGCGAGATGCAGGCCATGGAGCTCATGGTCAAGAACCTCGAGAAGAGCGGGATCATCACTCGCCTATCACGCGCGGCGGTCGATCATCGTCAAGTCTGGATCTCTCGACGACGTTGCCGAGCCCTTGACTGAGGATAATGTAGATCGTGCTTATCGTCTCGTCGTTGATGAAAGGTGTATCAATGAGTCCGTCATGGACCTGCTACCTAGCTGGGGGACCTACATGCGCTCCGTAGATGAGTGCTTGTCTGAGCTACCCTCTAGTGACGTATGGTACGCAGGCATTGATGTTGGCCAAGCCTTCTTCAACCTAGAATACGACGAAAGCTGTGTGCACCTGTTTGGATTCTCGTACTATGATTCAGACGGCGAGGTTCAGTACGCGTTGTTTCGCTATATGACTATGGGATTCAAGCTGTCATCCTTTTATTGGGCCTACTCGATCCACTCTCTCCTCTCGACAGCTATTCCCGAAGCGTACTGCACGGACGGGCCAACCCACATCTTGACCTTTGTCGACGACATCTTGGCGTGGTCACGGTTCATGGACGAATGTGTTCACCTGAAGAGCGTCTTAGTATATATCCTGGAGAGGGTTAATGCCAAGGCACCAATAGCCAAGCGCAAAGGCCCAGCTCGAAAGATCGACTACTTAGGGCTGACTCTAGTTCAAGGAGGCTATAGGGTATCCGACTCTACCCTGGAAACACTCCGTACGAATCTGGAGTCCAAACCACTCAATCTCAGAGGTCTTCGTACGAAACTCGGACTCCTACAATTCTGTCGCTCCCTATGGAGACCTGAACGCAATCGTGCCGACAAGACTCTCAGCCATCTCACGGCACCGTTCACCTCTTTAGTCGGCTCGATGGTCGCGGCCAAGTCCAAAAAGACTGCGAGTTTACATTGGACGGCGGGCCTCGAGAAGGCATGGAAGGCCATCGGCGACAATATGGGTGATGCATTCGTGCCCTTTCATTCCCAGCTTGATAACTGGGATGGAATGCAACTCGTCCTCATGAGTGACGCGTCGCCTGAGGCCGGTGCAGCCTGTCTATGGCGTCTGTCGAGAGACAAGTTCGCGTGTAACGCGGATCAAATATCAGCCGACTGGTTGGCTGATAATGCCCAACTCATCGGTGTATGGACCCACAAATGGTCCACATACGAGAAGGCCTACGACATCGCCGATCGTGAGTTATATGCCATATGTCACGCTCTGTCTCACTGGCGTCAACTCATCCTTTCCTTCCTCAACTTCCATAAGCTCCACTCCTCGGACAAACACCATGGTCTCGGACGGGTCACAGTTTTCATGGACTCCACTAGTGCTCTGGGCAAGATCGAGGGTCGTCTCAACTCCTCTACCTACCAGCCTACTACTCGACAGACTAAACGGTGGCTCTCATGGCTGGCAGACCTGCTGGAGTACGATGAGGCTGATCTAACCTACCGCCATGCGAAAGGGAAGGATAACTCTTTCAGCGATCTCCTGAGTCGTCTTGCTCAAGGGGGACAGCGGTATGTCCCTGAGGGTGGTGGCGAAGCGTTTGTCTTGGTGACCTCGACATCACCCTCCCAAAGTGAACTACCTACCACGGATCGTTCTGCCTCTGTCCACGACTCCACCAGATGCATTCTGGCGGGTGACCTGAGAGTTCAGTTGATAACTCTTCAGAAGGCAGACTCCTCTACCCTCCTCCATGGTGCTACGCTA